TCCTCGTCTTCTTCTTCTCCTTCTCCTTCTCCTTCTCCTTCTCCTTCTCCTTCTTCTTCTTCTTTGGAACTGGGGTTTGAATTCAGGCCCTTGCCAGAGAAACACTTATTCTACTGAGCCATCTCCCTGGCCCCACATTTTCTTCTTGTCTCATCCTTTTTTCTCCTTTCTCCCATCCAAGTTTCTCTTTACTTTTGAACAATTTCTTCCCATTTTTATAATATCTATTATACATTTTGGATCTTATTTATTCTTTCAGCTTGTTACACTAGGAAGACAACACAATATTTGCACATGTGCACCTGGCCTACTTCACTTGAGTATGGTCTTGAGTTGCATCCATTTACCTATAAAGGTCTCTAGTTTATTCTTCTTTATGGCTAAGTAGTATTCTATTGTATAAAAAAAACACATCATTTTTATTATTCTTTGGTTGATGAGCATTTACGTTGCTTCCAAGATCTAGCTATTATAAATTGTACTGCTATAAACATGGGTATACATATTTGTGGTACAATGTTTTAATTCTTTTGGGAAGACAGCCAGCAGGGGAATAGCTGGGCTAAATGGGACTTCCAATCCTACGTGTTTGAGGAATCTTCACACTGATTTCCACAGTAATTGTATAAGTCTATATGCCCACCAACAGTGGAGAAGTGTTCCTTACAGCCCCTCTAGCATTTGCTATTGGTTGATTTCTTGATTACAGCCATCCTTTTCTGGGTAAGATGGAATGTCAGCATTGTTTTAATTTGTATCTCTCAAATGACCAGTGATGTTGAACATTTTTTCATGTATTTATTTGCTATTTGTATTTTTTCATTTGAGAAGTGTTTATTCATCTCCAGATGTCCATTTCTGGACTGGATCTTTAAATTTGGGAGGTCTGATATTCCTGAGTTCTTTATATGTTCTCGATAGTGATCTTTTGAGGAACAGAGGGCAAACAACTTTTCCCACATTGTTGGTTGTCTCTTCACTCTGTTGGTGGTTTCTCTTGCTTATCTAAAGCTTTTTAATAAGATGAGATCCCAGTTGTTGATTCTTTGTCAGAGTTCCCATGTAATTGGGATCTTGTTCATAAGTTTTTGCCTAATCAGTATCTTCAAGAGTTTTACCTATTCTATCTTCCACCAGATTTAATGTTTCTGTTTTGATATTTAGATTTTTTGATCCATTTCAAATTTAGTTTAGTTCATGGTGAAAGATATGACTCTAGTTTTATTCTTCAGTATGTGTAGAGCCAGTTTTTCCAGCACCATTTATTAAATAGGCTACCTTTCTTCCAGTGAATGTGTGTGTGACCTTTGTCAAAGATAAGGTGTCTCACTGACAAAGGATCTACAAACTGTGGTACAGGGTTTCAGGGTAAATCCTGAGGGTATTTGACTGACCTTCTCAGATACAAAAGTTACATTTCTTGTTATATAGGTCTTGCTTTATCTTCATCTTCACCATCCAGCACAAAAGTATAAAAACAAGGTATAAAAAGTAAAGCCATATTAATATGTTGAGCTGTAAAAGGCTCAAGTTAACAACTTCTGACATTGTCAGTCCTATGGAAAACCCACTACTATTATGGACTACTGGGCTATATTAGTATATTTTGCTGCATTCACATACCTACAATATTTAAATGACAATGGAATACCCTTCTCTGACAAAACTAAAAAAAAAGGGGATACAAATGAAGGACCATTTTGTATCTGTATAGTCAAAATAGTTAGGATAGATATACAGCTACTTTCTCTTAATTCAGTGAATACAAAGAGTTGTTCTAATACTGTTTGTGGACAGGCTATCATGTCTGCATCTTGTACTATGAATAACCACCAGGAAAATAACAATATGCAATACATTAATTATTGAGACTATCCTACTAATTGGTTTTGGTTTTTGAGTTTTTTTTGTTTTGTTTTTATTTTTTTTTTTTTATTTTTCAACAAATAATACACTGCATATATTCTTCTTAGTGGTTAATTGCTGTACAAGATGTGG